CGGTGTGCCAGCGAGGGCGCTGGACTCCCTTGAGGGGGGGTGGATATAGTCCCACATCGGTTAGGAAGGAGAACGAAGCATGCCATATATATGGGTGTGGACACCTTCCTTGTGTAGACGCGTTTTGGGGTGGCATGCGTGCCATTGCCAGAAACAAATCCGTGAGGGCTGCGGCCAAAGCGGACAATATCTACATGCGGGTTCTTGGGCTGTTACAACGCCTGCCTGTCGAGATGCCACGTGTCGCAACTATTGTCTCATTTTTGAAAACGTACAGGTGGAGCGTGAGTGAGGGTGACGGTTATGCGATTATGACTGGTGCTCGTCATAATGGGGGTCGTTAAGTGTGTCGCTAGCTATGCCCCCTGGCTCACACGTGTTGTGGCCGTTTGGATTTCGGAAAACCCCCTTTTTCTCTCTCTCGCGCTCTTTCTCATTCACTTTACTCTTTTTTGCCCTTTCAGCTTCCTGCGCACGCTGTCTTCCTCGCTTTCGTTAATCTTTCATCTTCGTCTTCTCTGTTTCCGTCGCCGTTTTTGGCAACTGGGTTGTGCTCTTTCTTTATTGTTCTTTCGTTTGTGACAGGAGTACCAGGTACTTCGATTACTCTGTTCTCTCTTTCTTCTCCAATCTTCTCCTTCTTCGAGTCTTTTGTTTTCTTGATGGCTGGAAAAAGGAGAAGATTGGAGAAGAAAGAGAGAACAGAGTAATCGAAGTACCTGGTACTCTTGTCACAAACGAAAGAACGGTAAAGAAAGAGCACAACCCAATTACCGAAAATGGCGACGGAAACAGAGAAGACGAAGATGAAAGATTAACGGAAGCGAGGAAGACAGCGTGCGCAAGAAGCTGAAAGGGCGAAAAAGAGTAAAGTGAATGAGAAAGGGCGCGAGAGAGAGAAAGAGGGTTTTCCGAAATCTAAATGGTCACAACACGTGTCAGCCAGGGAGCATAGCTGGCGACACACTTAACGACCTCCATTATGACGAGCACCAGTCATAATCGCATAACCGTCACCCTCACTCACGCGCCACATGTACGTTTTCAAAAACGAGACAATAGTTGCGACACGTGGCATCTCGACAGGCAGGCGTGCGCGAAGGGTCACGGCCACTAGACGAGCTCGGTCTTAACTCCTCGACCTACGGTCTTTGGAACTCGGGGGGCTAGTTTACTATCTGTACCGCCATGCCGAGCTCGGTATCACAGCGCAGGATGACCTCGGACATGCGCTGGGCGATTTCGGTCTAGGCGAGATCCGCTATCTAATCAAATCATAACTAATCTCGGGCCCAAGGCCCAACACAACCCTAATTCGCACCAAGGTACGTGCATTATTTATACAAGACTCATACTCATACAAACCCTAATTTTGGCATCGGAATCTCTTTTGCAGGTACCGTACCACCCCCATCTTGGAACACCAACATACCAGTGAAAAAGGCTCACCAATCTTACTTGGCGGATCATCTTTACAACAAATTTTCGGTAAGAACAACTCTGGAATTCAATTGTTTCAAACACCCTTATTAGCCACCTAAGGAACCACTGAATTCTCAACACCAAAAAGATGAACCACTAGCTTTGTAAAATTCAAGACACTTACAGAATTGACATATAAATCAACTTGCATAAAAATAAAAATAAAAACCATTAATTGTAATCTCTTACAAATAAATATCAAATTAAAAGGACCCGTTTTCAAATTACAAAATATTTTTCCAGCAAACAACAATTTTAATCTCTGAAATATGTAAGTGACATTGACACGGTCCTTCATTTTAATTTCTAAGAATTTAAGGGTCAAATGCTTTAATATTATCCTTACTAAAACTCAACAGTAATCATAAATGCTTTAGCGTTTAATATTGACTTGTCACCTTAGGTGACATTACAATTTGCATCCATATTCATTCCAGAATGACGAGTGTTTATTAGCTAATTCCCCATCCTCTTTCTAGTTTTCACTAACATTTGTTCTCCCCTCAAGCTCAACAAAAAAATCGAGGGCCACGAGTCCCGGTGTTTCCATCTCCCCATCTTGATTTGACTAATAAATATTAAAATGCACATTGCAACAACTAGTAACCAAGTCCAAGGCACACAACTTTCCACGACTACAGGGGGCTATGAGTGTTAGATTATATTTGCTTTGAGAAGCTAGAACTTTCTTAATAAAGGAAATGGAAGTCAAAATTGGTCATTGTCACATTTGAGTTTGTAACAGTCACATTCCAAATAAAACTTAGGTGAGTGAGAGTAATTTATTTAAAAAAATAAAAATTAATAATCATCATTATATATATATATATATAATAAAATAAAATATAAATGTAAAAAATAATCATTAATGAATTCAATTTATAAAATTAGAAATGAAAAATATAATATTTTTTAAATATACTTTAATAATTTAATTAAAATAAGGGAGTACATTCATCCACTCTCACTATAATATAATATAAGTTTATTACTAGTTTGTACGATATGGTTTACTCACATTCAAGTCTAACAAATTCCAAACATGTGTTGGTGAAAGTTCTAAAAAGAAAGGTTAGTAGTTTCTATTGATGACCCTTCCACCCTCACCAACCATAACATAGTGGTGTTCCAAGTATTGAAAACTTTGCAAATGATGCTTTGGTGGTCAACAATGTAACCTCTGTGTAGCTAGCGGAGCAAAAGGATTGGGATTCTGATTGGCCTCTTGCACTCCTTCCACATTGAAATTGGTTGCTGAATGTCTGAGGATCCCCCGTAAGGGGGCTTTGCTTTGTGGTGACTGCTAGAATTGGTTTTGTCAAATAAATTTTCTAAACATGTTATGGAGTTGTCATTGTTGGAAGAAGAAAAAGATGACAATGATGAAGGAAATATATGACAGTTAAGTTTTTGATGTGATTTTTTCCCATCTCATAAAATAACATTATTTTTAATGAATGTTGATGCCATTAGGGTAATGGACAACTATGTGCATGTTTAGTTTATAATATTTAATGTGATTTTAGGTAATCTTTTACATATCTATTTTCATGTTAGAAAGTTTAGAAATGATTTTAGGCCACTTTTGCTCGGATAAAAAAATTATTCTTACTACTTATAAATTGCTTTTATAATAAAAATATTCGAATAAAAACCGCATAACTTTAAAATCAAAATAAATCGAAACACATACTCCATCTATCAAGGAGTAAGGTTAAACTTTAGAAAAGTTAAAAGGACTTATGTCTAAAGTGATTAAACTTTAGAATTCGGAAGAATATGATAGAAGATGATAAAATTGTTGGTTTATCGTTTAGGCGAAATTTAATAAACGGAGAAGCTAGCATTGTTGAGAAGGGTGAAGTTTTGCGGGGTATGTTTGTATGAACTGTGATGTTCTAGTAAGTAACAATCATGGAAAGACCTTAACAAACATTTGAAAAGAAGGGATTATGTGGACCATGGCATTTATTTTTTTTATTTTCAATCTAATGATTAAATATGGATCTTAAAATTGTTAGCTTAAAAAAAATTAAAGCTGATCGAGGGTGAAAAATAACTTCTTTTAAGTTATTTTTAATTAAATTGATTTATATTCTCTTTATATATTTATCTATATATATAAAAAAGAGATTTGTTTACTTTAGGAGTAAGTCTATATAGACTTACATAGAATTATTGACTGATGGGGTTATTTTTATGGTATTTGTCTGAGAGGATATTTTATAAAATATTTTTATAAGGTTATTACACAAACATACTCCACAATGATGAGATATAAGGTTATTACACAAACATACTCCACAATAATGAGATATTGTCCGCTTTGGGCCTTAGCCCTCACGGTTTTGCTTTTGGTCATCACCCAAAAGGCCTCTTAATCATTGAAGTATGTTTGTATTATATAAGTTGTTATTTGTTATGTTATTTTATCGATGTGGGACTTGTTTGTATCCCAACATTGACATATTTCGTTCAATAACTCATATTCATTTGTTGAATTTAAAATTTTTAATATATAAATCAAGTTTACAAATTTTTAAAAAACTTAAAAACCATTTGATATTTTATCTCATTAATTTAAATTAACGAATAATCATAAAATCATTTTATACATTAATTTGAATTAATGAAACAAAATATTAAATGATCTTCAAATTTTTAAAAATTTACAAACTTGATTTATGCATTAAGATCTTTAAATTCAACGGTTGAATGATTAAAAATTGATATAAAAAAATTATTAACCAGAATTAGTATAGGTAGACTTACTTTTAGTATAGAGGAGGGTTCAAACGACATCGGTGTAACTTTTACTAAGTGTTACACCGATGTCGTTTGAACCCTCCTCTATATATATATATATAGAGGAGGGTTCAAACGACATCGGTGTAACACTTAGTAAAAGTTACACCGATGTCGTTTGAACCCTCCTCTATATATATATATATAGAGGAGGGTTCAAACGACATCGGTGTAACACTTAGTAAAAGTTACACCGATGTCGTTTGAACCCTCCTCTATATATATATATATAGAGGAGGGTTCAAACGACATCGGTGTAACACTTAGTAAAAGTTACACCGATGTCGTTTGAACCCTCCTCTATATATATATATATAGAGGAGGGTTCAAACGACATCGGTGTAACACTTAGTAAAAGTTACACCGATGTCGTTTGAACCCTCCTCTATATATATATATATATATATATACGAAGGAGGTTATAATTACACCGGTGTAACTTTTATTAAGTATTACACCGTTCAATAACTTTATATTATTATGAATTTTGTAAATCCAACCGTTAAATTGAAAGTTCATATCACTTTATACGTGTATATCAAATTTTGTTAAAATTGAACAACAACTTGAGGGTAATCAAAGTGTTCATATTTTAGTATATTTTGAAATGAATATATTACGTCAATTTTGTTTTATAAAAATGAAGTATCAAATCATCTTAGATTAATATAAAATTTTGTATATATGATCTAAGAGATATGAACTTTCAATCTAACAATTGGATTTACAAAATTTATATTTAATATAAAGTTATTGAGCGGTATAATACTTAGTAAAAGTTACACCGGTGTAACTTTTACTAAGTATTAATTTGATGAATTTAAGAGTCGTTATCCACTTGCTTTTGATTCCAAAATATTACCATCACGTGCCCACTTAAGCACTGTATTTTTTAAGAAAGGAGTGGATTTACTCGATAACCATAACCATATAAACCATTGTGGTCGGGTTTTTTTTCTTAAAAAAAAAAAAAAAAGAATGATACGACGCTTCGAGATTTATGTTGTTTGATCAAAGTTAATCATAAAAAAACAAATTTTGATCAAACAATCAAACCTTAATTGGTGTCTAAGATGCTTCACTTCACCATTTTTTGATTTTGTATTTTTAGATAAATAAGGGAGCTTGCAAATGTCATTGCTTGCTGAATGTGAGGTCCAGAAACATAAATTCAAGTTTTTCCGATATTCTTGTAATATACAAATGATCAAAATTTATTTTTCTTTTTCATCATCAGTTACATATATATTTTCTGGATTCAACTAGCTAACTTGTTACATTAGAAAGTGATCAACATCAAATTACGTTCAAACTGATAGGCAACCCAAATTATTTTACGGAAAAAAATTGTCTTAAAAATTGAGCAAACAAGTGTATAGTTGACTTAGCTTAATTAGCTCGAACATGAAGTTATGTTGAAACCATTAGAAAACCCAGAAACCGATAGTGATAAGCGAATGGTGTTACTTAGGATTGTGTCTAGAAAGAAGAAGGTAGAGTGAAAAAAGCAGAGGTTTTAGTTGTGGAATAAGGTGAATGATTATTACCGTAACACGTAACAAGAGGTTGAATTTGAATCTAATTGAATGGAAGAAAAAAGGGTTATAAACGAGGAGAAGTGACAGTGAAAAAGGGAAATTGAGCATAAATTAGGAAAGTTTTTTTTTTTTTTTTTGGAATGAAATATACATCACTGATAATAATGACTAATTTTTTCTTAAAATTTATCGTGACTGTATATATAACACAAAATTCAAACCCTTGACCTGCTTAAATATGAATCAATTCGTACGGCTGAATCACCGCTAGAGTTAATTAAGAAAGGTAAAATTAAAAAGCGAAGAAAGAGGATTGCGCATGCATGCGGGATCCAATGCGTAAAAAACATTGAAACGGGACCCACCATTGTTCCTCAGATACACTCTCGAGGCCTCACGCGCCGCTCTTTGTACTCTCTTCTTCAGACACACAACACACATGCTTTTTTCCTTTCCTTTTTCTACCCTGCATCCACTATCCAATCATTCAATTTAACTCTCGAATTTCTTTTATTTTTTAAAAATATTTTTTATTAATGATTATTAATAGCTTAAAAGGATTTTTAAAGTGAATATAGTATAAAATATTATTTACTGACAATCAAGTAAAATCCTTTTCTTTTAATTCATTTCAAAACTATCTTTCAATTGATATTGAAAGATTATGATGTGTTTGTATTACATTTAATATAATTGAAAGGTAACATCATATTTATTTTAAATTTTTTATATTAAAAAATGGAAAATTGAACGAGTGTTAAGTTATTTTTTTTCAAATACATGTTTTAAAAACTCAAATATTAATTAATTGACATAAATTTTATTAGCATTAAACAAATAGGTTTCACATTAAGACTAATTGTTATTTACAACTTTTATCCGAGGACAAATTATGCTATGATAAAAGATTATTTATAAAATAATTTTATATTGTGATTTAATCAAAATTTATTATTTATAATTGTAACGATCTTATATTTAATAAAATTAATTATTAACAATAGAAACAATCAATTTTTTAAGATTGTTATATTCACATTTCTTGTAGATGTGTATCAATAGATATATACAAAGAAAAAACAACCAAGGAAATAAATAAACTATACAAATATAAATATATGTATACGTGTATATATATATATATATATATATATATATATATAGTAATTTATTATTGTAAAATAAAATTTTAAATTGTTGATTAAATAGCTCTACTAAAAGTAGCACCAAGCTACATGTAAATAATATATGATATTTCATACATCTAACTCTTCAAGTTTATTCTTGTTTTATTTCCATGAAAACATAATCATCACAAATTCATAGTTCAACCATTAGAAAATAATATAAAGATAAGTTAGTGTATAAAAAGAGTAATTATGCAACAAGTATAAGAGTAAAACAATTATACTATCAACAACATTAACATGTAAATCATACAACAACTCACTTCAACATGATATTCAACATCTTACAAAATAAACAACTTAATCAAATATGAAAATTTCTATCTCACCACATTAATGTCATTCGACCGCATAATCAGCAAACATATAAACAACAACACAACATATCATATGTATATACTTCAACTACATATATAGTCATTTATTCACCTACAAAGATCTTTTATACCAAGGTAAGTAATTTAAGTGACTTACCCTATCAAACTAATCAATTTTTTTACACTTGCTAGATCAACAACTAAATTGAGATATCAATTCTTACAATACAATTTATTGGATATTATCATTTAAACTAGAAAAGTCTAGTATTATGAACTTTTTAATTTAACGATTTGAGTATTAAAATTTGATGTATAACATAAGTTATTGAATGAGTAAATTTAAGTAAGTCTATCTAGATTTACTTTGTTCAATAATACATATTATATATCAAATAACAACGATTTAACTGTTGAAACGAATTATCAAATAATTTTCAAATTTTTTAAAAATTTATAAATTTGATATGTGTATTAAGAAATTTAAATACAATGTTAAATCGTTTAAATTTGATATAGAGCATGAATTATTGAACAGAGTAAGCCTATGTAAACTTATTCCGGAAATAAACAGATCTCTCCTATATATGTGCATGTGTGTGAGGGGGTTATAATAACATCGACGTAACTTTTACTAAGTATTACATTAATTAATAACTATATATTAAATATGAATTTTGTAAATCTAACTGTTAGATTGAAAGTTCATATCACTTTATATGTTTATATCAAATTTTGTTAAAATTAAACAACAACTTGATAATAATCAAAGTATTCATATTTTAGTATATTTTAAAATATATATTACATCAATTTTGTTTTATAAAAATGAAATATTAAATCATTTTAAATTAATATAAAATTTTTGTATATATGATCTAAGAGTAATAATATTTCAATCTAACGGTTAAATTATAAGATTCACATTTAATATAAAATTATTGAACGATGTAATATTTAATAAAAAAATACATCAAGATTATTATAACCATCATTTCTCTCTATATATATATATAATTTCGGAGAAATTTAGATATATAACCCTCCTCTATAGGTGATTAAAAGTCAAGGCCAGGCAAAGAATTGAAACGTAACAGTGAGACAGCAAATCTAGAGAGTGTTGTTGTGTATGAGGTGGTCTAGTATCAAAGCCATTGGTGCACATCTTTAAAGCACGCACATTTTGTCCAAAACTAAATCTGATTTCAACCTAAGGATTCCTTCTCCTAGTTTGTTGCACTTACATTCAACATGTTTTTGTTTTTCTTCTTTCTTTTCCACCGAATTTCAAATTATCATAGTAGATAGTATTTAATATAATTTTTTAATCATACACTAATTTTTATAATAATTTTACACATATCATTGGTCAAAGATTTTTTATTCCTTTTGTTTATTCGTGTATAATAATGATCACCGACTTTGAAGATAGACATTTTTTTTTCTCTTGTTTGAATATATTTGTTTCTCTACGTCTATATAAAATATAAAACTATTTAATTGTACTTTTTTTTAGTTATCTTCATTTTTTTTATATTTTATTTCGTACACATGCAAACGCATATATATATATATATATATATATTAATGACTAAACCCTAAACCTCCCTGCCACCCACTGCCACAACCACCACCCTCCGACAGCCAGAACCTGACCTCCCCACCACCTACACCCACACCCACACCCACCTACCACCCTCCGCGGCCCGAATCCGACCCCCCGCCACCCACAACCACAACCACCACCCTCTGATAGCCCGAATCTGACCTCCTCACCACCCACACCCACCCACACCCACACCACCCACCACCCTCTACAGCCCAAGAGCGAGAGAGAAAGACAGACGTTGAGAGAAAGAGAGGGAACAAGAGAAAGAAATAACGAGAGAAAGAGAAAGAGAGAAGGCTAGGAGACGTTGAGAGAGCCGCCGCTGCATCCTCTACTCTGCCGCGCTCTTCCTCTTCCTCCTCCTCGCCGCCGCCGCCTTCCTCCTCTACCCCTCCGAACCGGAGATCCGCCTCGTCCGGATCCGACTCAACCGCATCGGGGTCCGAACCAACCCGAGGCCCATTCTCGACCTCTCCTTCTCAGTCACCGTCAAGATCCGCAACCGAGACTTCTTCTCCCTCTCCTACGACTCCCTCGCCGTCTCCGTCGGCTACCGCGGCCGCCAGCTCGCCTTGGTCTCCTCCGGTGCCGCCGCCGGCGGCCTCATCAGGGCGCGCTCCTCCTCCTACGTTGACGCCACGCTCGACGTCGACGGATTTGAGGTCATCTATGATGCGTTCTACCTGCTCCAAGACATCGCCAGGGGCGTGATTCCGTTCGATACCGATACGCGAGTCGAAGGGAAGTTAGGGCTTCTCTTCTTCCACGTTCCTTTGAAGGCAACGGTGTCGTGTGAAGTGTATGTGAACATAAGAGAGCAGACAATTGTACGTCAAGACCGCTATCCTAAGTCGCTGGGTGATCCGCTGGATCAGAGCGCCGCCCACCTCGGCTTTGGCGGCAGCAGCGCCGCCCACCTCCTCGTCAATCTCCACCCCGTCGTAGTCCTCCGTGCCTGGGAGCTCGACCCCGCCGTCCTCCAGGTCGCCCTCGAGTATTTCAACTACTAGGAAGCCTCCTTGTGGTGAAGGTATTTTCACTATTTCCTCACTTTATCCTTTAGTGCATTAATGTTAGCCAAGTAAATCCTCTTGAGCCTGGGTTGACGCAAAGAGCAAAGAGCAACAAGTACAGTTGCAACATCATGAGAGGTGGTACCACGGAAGGGAAGGGATGTGAGGGAATCTGGGAGGGGCATAAGCAATATCACAGAGGACCAAATGGAGCAGAAGTAACAACTTTCTTCTTTTCAAGGTTTCCTGAAAGTTTCATGGAACAAGACTTATGGAGGATATTCCAGAAATGGGGGCGAGTATGGGAAGTGTTCATTGTAAGGAAAAGGAATAGAAGCGGTCAAAGGTACGGGTTCGTAAGATACGTTGGAGTATTGAACGCGAAAGATCTGGAGAAAAAATTAGACCAAATCTGGATTGGGAATACAAAGATGCATGTGAATATACCTAAGTACAAGAGAGGGGAAGGAAAGAAGTTGGAAACAATGCTAAAGGGAGGGATAAAAGGTGCACAGGAGGAGAAACAAATTGCAAACCAGTACAGTGAACAAAGATGTCTTACATACGCACAAGTCACAAGGGGACAACAAGTCAAAAGGGAGGTAGTATGGAGGAGGAAAGATAAAGGGGAGCACCAGGATGAAGAGGAAAGATGGGAAGGTCAAACAATACAAGCTGTTGAGGCTAACTTGAACAAACTCCAGAATACATGGGTGGGGTACTTGAAGGATCTTACTTTAATTGACAATATTGGCGAGGCAGGTTTTCTGTATGATAATACTGATCTAAAGCTGAAGTATTGGGTGGATGATATGGTTCTAATTTCGGGGTTAGAAGAAGAAACCATGAAGGAGAGAATCAGTGACAAAAGTGATGTACTAAATGTTATCTTCAACAAGGTTGTGAAGTGGTCACAGTCAGTTTCGACTGGGAATAGGATGGTGTGGGTCCGGTGTTATGGTGTCCCACTTCAACTATGGAATGAGGAATGTCTTGGCCAGGTAGTAGGTGAACTAGGAACAGTGGTGGGTATACATAGAGATACACTTGAACTGAATGAGGTAAACTCTGCAAGGGTCCTAATCAGGACAGGATCGGCCCGGTTCATTAATTCCCATAAATTGGTAAAGATTAATGGGGAGAGAAGGCAAATAAGACTGGTAGAGGAGGTGGTTAGCAAACGGACGGGGTGCAACTGCTGGTTCTTACGGAATAACTTCACCGATTCAGAGGTGCCATCCATGTTGAGTGAAGTAGGGCTATGGTTGCAATCATCTGGATCAGAGTGTTCAACGGATGGCTACGAGAAAGTGTCCCATGTGGCTGAGTCAGTACAAGCAATGGTGGAAGAGGAGGTTCAAACGGAAGAGAAGGGTGAAGGACAAATCGGAGAAGGGAGGGAAAATTTGAATGATAACACGGTGGATAATAGCATTAACCAAACAACTAATGGAGAACTGGCAGATATTTCTACGCAAAGGGGCGGCCAGTACACGAGTGTGTCAGACAAAGGACTAGCAATTCAGAATAGGGAGATGGCGGATCAAAATGGGGATTTGCTGGTAATTCAGACTGAGAATGTGGGAAAAGAAAAACAACAAATAAATGGCCCTGACAAAGTCAAAGATTTGGAAAATGTTGAACAGGACGAGCAGGAAACAGTCCAAAAAACTGGATCATTTGTGGTTAAAAGTTGGCCTAACAAGGTGAATGTAGAAAACCAAACAAGGGAAGACCAACAAATCACTAAAAACGGGTCAAAAGTTGGGAAGAGGGGGAGGTTAGAGCAAAAGGCTGCGAAGGAGATAAACGTAGATACACTGTACGAGGTGCCAGTAATTACGTACACAATGCCTGGAAATTTCCCGAAGGCCGTCCAGGAGGGGAGCATCAAAGGATGTGGAGTAACCCAACAACCAAGCAACGAAGTCGATTACACAGGTGGAAACAAACAAGCTGCAAAAACCCACCAACTACCTAAGGCCACATACTGCAAGAGGCAAAACAAAATCAACAAAGTGGTGGGGGAAGGGAGTATAAGCACATATTCTCTAGTAGATGTTAATGTACAGAACTACAATGATACGAACTGGCTAAGGAGAGTTGATTTGGAGACACAAACTTTGTGGGACATTGGGGTGAAATTAGGTGTGACCCACAAGGGAAATGAGGAAGAAATCTTGCAGAGGATGAAGAACATGGAAGAGAGGGATCAACAGGGTAATCTGCGACAACAGACAAGCGAAGGGGCTCATACGAAGTATCAATGAAAGTCATCTCATACAACGTTAGGGGCCTAGGGAGGCGAGTAAAGTGGAGGTACATAAGGAAGGTGATCACTGATGAGCAGGCACAATTTATTTGTCTACAAGAGACAAAAATGGAGATAATAAGCAAATTAATGATACAAACTATATGGGGCGACTCGGAGGTTGAGTATGTCGAAGTTCCAGCAGTGCAAGCTGCGGGTGGTATGGTGTGTGCATGGAGTAAGGAATGCTTCAGATTAGAAAGAGTGTTTAGAGGGGTGCGATATCTTGGGGTACAGGGTGTATGGAAGGAGGGGGATATAAGCATTGTGATTGTTAATGTATACTCACCCTGTGACTTAACAGAGAAAAGAAATATGTGGAATGAAATCAAGGGAATCAGATCAGTGAGCAATATTAGCAGGTGGCTCGTGGCTGGGGACTTTAATGAAGTAAGAAGAGATATAGAGAGGCAAGGAATAAGGGGTGTAAGCAGAAGGAGTCAAAGTATTGAGTTCAATGAGTTTATAGCAGATATGGATCTGGAAGAAGTCAGGACAGTAGGACGGTCCTTTACCTGGTATAGAAACTAAAATAAATTTTTTATTTAATTTTAAATAGGCTAAATAAATATTTAAACCTAATATAAATTATTTATTATCAATTTATAATATAATTTATATAGTATATATATTTTAAATAAATAAAATATCTTTTGCTGCTTCAAAAAAAAAAACTATTTTTAACAATAAATATTTTATATTAATATTATGATTAAAAAAATTTATATACACTTTTTTTAACATTTCTAACCTTATAATTTTTTATTTTTTATTTTTATATTTTTAAATAAGTATAAAATAAAAAATACATTAAATGTAAATAATAAAACAATTTTTATTGCGTAAGACAATCTTAAATAAAATAAACATAAATGCACTTGCCATTAAATATTTATAAATTTTAATATTGTTTTCGTGAGTAACACAGAAATTGACTTTTGAGCAATATTACTTAATTTGAATTTTATATGCTTTACTAATAGTATATTTTAAATTTACTTATATCCATAATACTAGTATGAGAGACGAGCCAAAAATTATATATACATTATGAGATAATCTTTTATTTAAACATTTTAACGAAATCTAAATTATTTTATTTGATAAAGTAATCTATATCAAATAAAATAAATAAAAAAAGATAGGGAAAAATTGAATATATGAAGTTAATTAAAATAACATTCATAGGTCGTCTCTCTAAAAAAACAAAAAATTCATAGATAGTTAAGCTTATCTAACCATCACAGTTTAAAAATGATTATCCCATAATATTGTTTAAAAACATAAGAAAGTTTATTGAATGGTAAAATAATGAATCATATGTAACTTTTGCTCGAAATTTTAGCAATTAAATGTTCCTTATTTTGTTCTTTATGTTGAAAAATTGAAAGTTATTATTGAACAATACGATATAATTTTGAAAAGGTATTCTGATTAATATTTTTAATCGAGTAATTATATCTAACTCGTAAGTTATGCCTATAATGTTTTATCACGTAAAATAATGATATATATATAACGAAAAGTTACCCTTTGGATAAATTGAAGATAATTAATATTTAAAAACGCTAAATTAATTAATTAAATAACGACTTTAATAAAAAAAATAGAAAATAGTTAAAGATCAAAAACATGTTTAATTACTAACATGTTTTTTTAAGAGAAAATTTGTTTAAGATGTAATTAAGATTGAGTTAAATGCTATTAAAGTTTAAGAGAATAATTACTAAACATTTATGTAAAATTGCTTAATACATCATAATAAATGCAATAAAATACACGTATTCAAATAAATGCAATAACATTAATATTTTTAAAATCAAACCGATTACCAATCAAAATATTAATTTAAAGTTTAATAGTTTAATTGTAATCAAATCAATAACATTAAAACAATAATTATAACATTTAAATAATATATAAAATAATATTAAATAAATATAATATCATAAATTTATAATACTAAAATTAAAATAATATATATTTTATTTTTAAAGTACATGTAAAAATATAAATATATTATTTAAATTAAAAATATTAATTAAATATAATAATATATAATAATATTATTATATTTAGAGTAGAAAAATATGAAATTAATAAAATATAATATATTATGATATAAAAAATATAAATCAATATAAATAACTAAATTATATCTTTATAAGAAAATTATTAAAAATAATAAATAATATAATTTATTCAAATTTATAATCTATATTAAAGATATTTATTTATTTATCATAAAATATTTAAAATAATTTTAGAACAAATTATTTTGAAAAGAACCGTTTTAAATTGATTTTTTTAAGTCAATTTTCACAAATTTTGGACCGATTTATTTGATTGTTGACCACTTTTTTTACATTTCAATTTTGTAATTCTTTTAGATCAATAAATTGACCGATTTTTGATCTAACCATTCAATTCAATTTTAGCGACAGAAAATAAAATACATGCACGTTAAAGAAAAAAGGACCAAAATTGAAGATACTGTTACAAATACAAACACATAAAACAAAATAGTAATTATTAATCTTCAATAGCGAGCTATTTAATAACATTTGATGAGATTATTATAAGTTTGGTCATATTTTTCAACCAAGCAATTTCATTATTTTAAAGTTATTTATTGATTGGTAAATAAAAACTGAATACTACAAATATTGAATTTAAAAAAGGTGAA